CCAGTTCACATCCTGGTGAGGACACCTGAGATTTTTCTGCGTGGAATTTGCATGTTCTCCCCGAGCAGTAGGTGTGAATGTGAGTGTGCTTGGTTGTCTGTCTCTAAGTGTAGCCCTGTGATAGACTGGTTACCTGTCCAGGTGTCCCCTGCCTTCACCCTGAGTCAGCTGGGATAGACTCCAGCCCCCCATGACCCTAGTGAGGATTAAACGGCGTATAGATGATGGATGGATGATGAATCAAAGGGAAACCTGAACCCGACAGTGAGGCTGTGCAGATACATTTTGCATTTTTTGTTTGGGTCCACTTGTCACTGCAAGTCAAATAAGGTTCTTCTGGGTCTTACAATGAAACATTTCTATCTTGATGGGAGGATCTTTTCCAGGATGACGATGACTCCATCTGGGCTCAAAGAGTCACTGGATGGTTTGATGAAAGTCGTGTGAATCACATGTTTTGACCTTTACAGTCTCAACCCGGCTGAACAGCTATGAGAGGTTTTAAACTAACTTGTTAAACAGCATTCTCCACCACCATCGTCAAAACACCAAATGAGGGATTATCTTTTGGAAGAAAGATGTTCAGAAGCTGCTGATGTCAGGCTTTCCTTTCATTAGTCACCTGTCACATTGATTTGAACAGGGCTTTATAGAAACAAACAGCATATCGAACTCTGATTTAGTTCATAACAACATGACGCCACAAAACTCCCCAGTGGGTTTGAAAAGCCTGCTATCTTTTTAAAAATTGCCAAAACGACTACGCTGATTGGAGCACGAATCATTAGATTTTAACTTTTCTTCATCCCTTGAGCTTCTTATCTGTGATGTGATGTTTGAAATCTGAGACTGTGAAATTTCATCAAAATCACTTTATTCTGTCTCATTTAAGTGTGTAACCCACAGAAATGCGTTATAAATAATGAGAAACTACTTAAAACACCTTAATTTTTATGAGTAATCAACTCACTTGTTTATGGTAACAGTCATTTTTAAAGAACTAATTAAAAACAGAACTATTAAGGTAAAGTTGATTTCCTTTAACTCAGTGTAGTTTGCTGGTTGAACATAGTTTATTTAGAAGTTGTCATTTCTCTGTATGAATTCTTCTTTCGCTGCATCATAACAATCAGCCACAAAATCACAATGTTTTACTTTGAAATTAAAAATCAAGATAATGTAACATCCGGCTTTATTTTGAAAGCACAGTCCGTGAGTGTCCGGTCCGTGTTGACTCGGGTTAGCTTGACACGGGTATAAACATCTGGAGGAGTCCAGCTGCGGCTCCACACCGGGATGATGAAGCCACCGGGAGGCTGACGGATCTCCGCCGGCTCTGCAGACACTCTGCTCGGCTGCCACGGATCGCACTCGCCGCCTCCTCCGGTCCTCCACCGTCCGACCATGAGGGACCCGAAGACCTGGACCCCGGGATTCGGCCCTGCGGACCGGGGCAAACCGGCCACCTACACCGGAGAGAAGAAGGCGAAGCTGGTGGCCAAAGCCAACAAGAAGTGGGTGAGGCTGGCCACCGTGGTGGTCTACGTGACCTCCGTGTCCCTGGCCGCCGTGGTCCTCGCTGTTTACTACAGCCTCATCTGGAAACCCACCGCTGGACCCGGACCGACCCGCACCAGGACCGGGACAGGAGAACCTGGATCCAGCTCTTCCGAGACTGAACCAGCTGCAAGGAAACTTCAAAACAAAACAAAATGTAAAAGTGATGTAGATGAAAACAACTTTCTGATCAGTGATCATAGATCTATTGATGGAGACCTGATCGATACCAATAATCATTCAGATGCTGACAGCCACGTGTCCACCAACACTCACAGCACCGGGCTCCAGGAAGCCTCTACCGGACCCACCGAGCCTCCTCAAGCCGAGCAGGGCTTCACCTCTCCGGCTCTGAGCGCCGCCGAGCCGCCCGCTGTCACCGCGGAGGATCCGTCCAACCTGCCGACTCACCGGACCGCTGCGGGCCGGGACCCGGCGGCTGAGGTCGGCCAGACGGAGACGGACTCCTCCGGGCTCGGGATGGAGGAGTAAAAAGTTGTGGATCGTGAATGTGTTGTTTCACTTTAATGGCAGCACTGTTCTGGTGCAGGGAGGGTTCAGGTAAAATGTGTGTTCTGGACAAAAAAAAACAAAACCCTCCAGGATCAGTGAGTCTCAGCTCCAGTGTTTCTACACATTCATCTGTTTACCACAAGAGTCAGAGGAGAAAATGAATTATAATCCAACAGAAGTGATGCAGACAGACAGAAGAGATGCTTCTGTCAACATGCGACCTTCACTGTCAAACTAGGAGCATTACTCTGGTATAAAAAGAATTTTAAGAAGAAATTGTTTTAAAAAAAGACACTTCAAGCATTCAAACCTGTTCTACTGTGGCCACCATCCCATCTTCTACTTTTAATTGACTTAAAGATGTTACTATGTTTAATATCTATTTAAATGATTATATGCAGGCTGGGAGGAGAATCCAATACCTACAAATAGCTGGAGCTTTCTTTGGTGCGGTAATTGTTTCTAAATGAACCGAGTTTAGTTCCAGCAAACTACCTGATCAGATGTTTAAATAAATGACATCTTTTTAGTGAGTGCGTATTCTGTAATCCTCACCAAACCGTTTTTCAAAAGGGGAGAAGGAGCATAAATTTGATCTGTGTCATTTTCACACATTTGTATTATTGTTTTTATGACATCCTGTTACGGGTCATTTAGAATCAGTGGGTTTCAGTTTTATAAGCTTCACAATATTAACGTCTGAACACTGTCATTTTATTTTAATTATGCAAACTTTTAATCCAGTTCCCTTTAAGCAACACTTTAGTGTTTGTTTAGTTGATCATTGAGTTTGTTTTATTCATTTTTATGTTTTTTCTGAAAGTGTTTGAAGGTTGTAATCCAGACAGTAAATCACATTAAAAGCATCTCTGCAGCACTGAACACCAGCATCTACACTTTTTTTTTTAATTATTATTTTTTTTACCTTAAGTCATATATATATGTATATATATATATTAATATTCAAGACATATTATTCCACAAGAACTGCATTATTTTATGTTTTGTTTTGTTTTGTTTTGTTAAATTGCTTTGTAAATAAATGTAATTCTATTTCAAAAACAAGCTTTTTTAATTGTAATGTTTCTTTGTTTTCTCGGGGTGTTTTTTAGATTTATAAAGCTGATATAATTTGGTCTTTTGGAGTTCAGTTTCAATACATTGTAAATTTCCTACATAATTTTCTTACTTCATAAAACAAACACTAGTGATTTTGTATTAAAAAAACAACAACAAACAAACAATATGTCCACAAATCTACAGTGAGATGTTCAACTCAGACATTTTGCAGTTCTAAAATGAAACCACCAAACTTTCCTGTTTTCACTATATGATTAAAAAAGTGATTTTTCCAGTCAGGTGAGGTGAGATTTGAATGTGTTTTGAAATGTGTTGGACTGAACTGAAGGTTTTGTCTGCAGCTGTGTTGGGATTTACAGCGTTGTTTAAATCAGTCATTTCCCCTTTTTGTGACCAACAGTCACTAAAATCCCCCAATTCTACATTTATGATCACAGAAAATGAGAAAACGTTCAAGCTGCTTTCAGAGCTTTTGCTGCTTTTGTCTACAAACACAACAGCGTCTTTACATGTTTCCAACCCTTTAAAATCTGATAATCCATTAATTTAAAAACAATTCTAAGTAGTTATCTGGCAGCCATTATTGTTTAGGTCATGAAAGGGCGGGACCTGGACAGAAGAGTTTTTTGTCTTTATGTGATTGTTTGTTTCAGTGAGTCGTCTGGTTTTCTGTTGTGTGAACTGAGGATTTAAAAACAGTCTGATGTTGAGTCCGTCCTCTCAGCACTCGTCTGTCTTTTATCTGAGACTTGACTCCTCCTGACAGAGAAATCTGATGTGGATGAAAACTTCCTGTTGGATGACCACAGGAAGGACGAGCAGCCAGTCTGGTCTCATCGCTGGACCTGTTTTCATGTTTTAGTTAATTAGCTGTAAATCCTGTTTACTGTTCTTCTTCCTGTTTGTGAGGCTGGAAGTTAAACAGCTGCATTCACTAAAGCATTTCCAAATGATGCTATTTTATATTGCATCACATGTCAGAGGGATATTGGACTGCTTTTGTATTTTTACTGAAGTATCTTTATGCTTTTTATGGCACTGGTGATGCATTCAGGTACAACCTGCATCCAGACATAAGGGATTGTTTAATCAGAATTTAGCTGATTTGAGGCTCTTGTAACCAAATCTCCATCTGATCCATCAGCTTTATCCACATAAACAGACCAGTCCACCTGTTGGTCCTCTGCACACCACCTCGGCCTTATTCCCAATATTCCATCCATCCATTATCTATCCACCGCTTAATCCTCTCTTGGGTTGTGGGGGGCTGGAGTCTATCCCAGCTGACTCAGGGTGAAGGCAGGGGACACCCTGGACAGGTCACCAGTCTATCACAGGGCTACACTTAGAGACAGACAACCAAGCACACTCACATTCACACCTACGGACAATTTAGAATCACCAATTATCCTCAACATGTTTTTGGACTGTGTGGGAGAACATGCAAACTCCTCAACAGGACGCGAACTGGTGACCTTCTTGCTGCGAGGCGACGGTGCTAACCACCGCTCCACCTTGCAGCCCCTTGTGACAGTCCTATTTGTTAAAATAAGATGGATTAATTTCCATATTTGGGACGTACTTGGAGGCCCAAAACCTCCAGGGGCCCCAAATGTGCATATTTACTCTTCTCTGTTTCTGTCTGCATCACTGATTTGTCTTATTCTCTGCTTTTCTGTGCCATTTCTATTCTTTTATGAAATCTTTTTCCTTTTGTCTTTATCTTCAATGGGCATTGTCCTGTGACTGTTTTAGTTCTGTGCGTGTGTGAAAATTAAAACAGCAACAACAGAAAATAGAATGTTTTGGGATGTTGGGGCTCCACAGCTTTCCAACAAATGACATTACCATTTAACAGGAGAAATTAAAGGGCTTTTATTGCTTCAAACAGCTCAAAACAGTTCAGAATTTCAAAAACTGGTTATTGGTTCTTCTTTATTTTTTAATGGTAACTGTTTTTTTTTTCTTTCCAAAACCCCTTCAGGTTTGTCATAGTTTGGCATTGGTTTCTATGATATGAGACTTTAATTTGTGTATTGTGAAGAGGAGATTTGGCTTCCTCCACTGTCTCCACAGCAGCTGCAGGTGCTAAAGGCAACGCCTACATGGGAAAGACGAGGAAACCGCTGAAGGTTGTGAGTCGACTCTGATCGAAGACACTGCTGCTTGGCCAGAGTATGATCCAGACCTGGTCGCCCTTCTCCAGCTCCAGCGTCATGCCATTGGATCCACTGCTGTGGGTTCCCAGAGTGTTGTAGATTGCAAACATGTTGATGCCGTTTTTAAACAGTGCTGCGTTCAGGGTCCCAGAATTTCCAACACACCCAGTGAACCGGAGGTAGTAGAGTCCCTTCACAGGGGCTGTGAAGATGCCTGCAGTCACAGAACAGGTGTATGTACAGTCGTCCTCAAATGTATTCATACCCTCCCATTAAAAACACAAATAATTCACTGGATCTGCACTTCCTTAGATGCCGGGAGTGCATGAAGACTCTTGTGTTCACTGTTGAGAGTTAACAGAAGTAGAAAGTAAATGAACCCGGTGGACTTTGGGGCAGCTGCTCGTTCTGAACAGCTCACTTGGAAGCAGCAAGTGGTGAGGGAGCAGGGAGGCCGTCTAGTAGTGGGGGGTCTTGAGAAATGGCAAAAGTGAATATCTTCATATCCTCATAGCTTTTATTTTGCACCTCCAAGTTTCTAACAATCACAAATCACTACATGGGACCTTTAAAAACAAATGTTCTGACACAACCGGGCGAGTCCTACCTGTGTCTTTGTCGTATGCATTGCCGATATTTGTCGTCACCTTCTTGAACAGCATTGTGATGTTGGTGTCGTAAGGCCCCACGTGGGTCCATTCGGTAGTGGTGCGGAGCGAAGCTGAGAATGCCACCTGGGCGCCGACTGCAGGAAGCCACACAGATTAAAACTAAACTAAATGTTTTACATAGTTTTATACGACATGAGTGGAAGCCTCACTCACAGACAAACAACACATCCCGCATATGCATATGTAAGAAAGCAGAAAATAACATAACAGTCTTTATCTAAAGTGCACTTGTTGAAATGAAAGTGCTTTCCAAAGCAACAAAGTCAAACATACAGACGTGTAAATAAAACACAATACGACAGATAAAAACAGCAAGTTGTTCAAAAGTAAAAAAATAAAACTGAAAAAAATAAAAGACAGTTTCAAAAAATACAAAGTAAAAAAATCGGGAAAAGCTCTTTCCAAACAAAAGTTTAAAGAAACAACTGAAAGTAATGTTAAAAATGATGAGTAAAATCTTACTTACTATCCTTAAACATCGTGGCTCAAACAAGAAAGATGTGCTCTAGTTTCTTGATTCTGGTTAGAAGCAACTCAGTTCTGTTCTATCTGAAGTCGGCTGCTAGTTTTCTGGTTCCAGTAAGTAAAAAGACATGCTGCAGTAATCCAAGCATGAAGAAAAAAAGAAGTAAAATGGTCTCTTGTGTGTTTCAAAGTTAAAGACACGATTCGTCTCAGACACTGCTTCTAAAAGTTCGCCTAATGTGATGGGATAAAACTGACTCAGTGTGTGGCCTCGTTGGCTTAACTGACTCCAGTTTATCAGTAAAATCAGTTTAAAACATTTCACAGTCAGCATCTCTGGGGGAGCAGGATTTAAAAGCTGATCTACACTTTTAAACAAAAAACCTGAGATTGTGTTGATGGGAGATTAGTTCTGAAAAGTAGTTTGATCGACTATCCTTTACGTTCTGTTGTACTAATAGCTCTTTTATAATGTCACAGTGTAGGTGGAGATCAGACTTTATCCATCAACATTCCTATTTTAAGAGCAGCAGTAACATTTATTGAGGACGAGCAGATTGAGCTGAAGGGATCGTCTCGATCATCGTGGGTTTGTTTTATAGCAGACTGACCTCTGTCCTCACGCTCTTTCTCCAGCTTTTCCACTCTGGCCTTCAGCTGCAGCACCAGGACTCGCAGGTCATTTTCTGTGGTTTGCTCAGGATTTAGAATTGCATCGTCTTCAGTTGCCGTTAAAATGACCTCAGCCTGGACCCCAACCAGACTACAGACCCCCAACACAACCAGAAACCAGCTGGACACCATCTCTACGGGAGGACGACTGGACTAACAGGAGGAGAGGAAACACTGTGGACTGAAATCCTGAAAGTCTGAGTTATTTATTAACATCTTTACCTCTGATTCCTCCAACAATTGAATCAACAAGCAGTTTGTTGATCCAAGGGACAGAAGCTGATCGATGTCTGTCAATGCTTAACTGACAAATAATTTGTTTCTTCAGCTTAATCAGGATACGACTGGTTTATGTAATGGGCCAATCGCATCAACGATGGAGGCTGAAGGTACCAGATGCTGAACACATGAACCTGTCAGAGGTGTGAACAAAGCTGCAGGAGGATGTCTTACCTGTACCTGTCGTGGATGTAGCCTTTGTTGGCTCCCATTAGTTGACAAATTCAGCCAATTTACGCCAGTGTGACCCAAAGGTCATATTGCTTTTAGGTTAGTTTGCTTTCAGTTGGCAAGAAACGAGGGTAAGCTGAGGCAAAAGTCCAGATGTGAAGAAAATAAGTTGCAGGTTACCTGATGTGCCCTCTGATTTTGTAACTTCAACGAAAGTATCGAAGAACCTTGACATCAGTGTGGATTCCCACCTGGTTCCTCCTGGACGACTTGCTGTGACTGATGGAACTATGAATTCTGCTCTCTACCAGAAAATCCTGAAGGAGAGGGTTCGGTCATCAGTTCGTGACCTCAAGCTGAAGCGCACTCAGGTTCTGCAGCAAAACACTGATCCAAAACACACCAGCAAGTCGACTTGTGAATGGCTTAAAAAAACAAAACGAAGGTTTTAGAGAGGCCTAGTCAAAGTCTGGACTTGAATCCGACTGAAACGCTGTGGCATGACCTTAAAAAGGTCGTTCATGCTGGAAAACCCTCCAGACGCTTGATTTCAGTTGTTGCTGCTGAGGGTGGCCCAGCCAGTTATTAGGTTTAGGGGACTTTTTCCACACAGGGCCAGGTAGCTTTGGATATTTTTTTTCCCCTTGATAAACAAAATCACCATTTTAAAACTGCATTTTGTGTTTACTTGGGTTATCTTTGTCTGATGTTTACATTTGTTTGATGATCTTAAACATTAAAATGGGTCAAATATGCAAAAATAATACGAATTTGATAAGGGGGGGGGGATACTTTTTCACAGCACTGTACATGACAACATGACCGCCAGCTTCTTAAACAAAATCAGGACGTTGTTGTCAAGAAGCCCCCTGACGGGTGGTGGTGATGAGGGGGCAACAGATTCTGCTCACAACAGGTTTCTATATTGCAAGAATTAAAGTCTACAGTTGTGCTTCTTCTTCCCAGTAAAAGCCAGACCAGCCCAGATGTACTGTTCTCTGGGGATCATTTGATAACAACATCAACCTTGATTGTACTTGTAGCTTCATTGTGTTGGAGGCCTCACTTCAAACACAGTTGAGCAAAGACACAAACAGAAGATGTAGGCACCCCCCCAAAAAAGGAAAATTGTGATAAAATTAGTGATAGAAATATTGAAAAGACAAAAAAGAAAAACAATAAAACTGTTGAGAACCAACATGTTTATTTGAGAGGAACCAAGATCTCCATGAAGCTCCAGAAGATGTTTTTTTAAAAAGTTCCTGCTTAAAGATTTGGACTCTGTGAAGGTTCAGAAATTTTCAGGATATGTCTTGTACCATCAGAACGAAATTAGAATTTTAATCTTCTCCGAAACACTTCAGCTGACTTTAGTTTTTGTGAGAAAAGTGTCAGATGGAAGGATTTCGTGTCCCGACAGTCGCCTCTGAAAAACAAAGAAGTGCACTTTCATGACTCAGTAATCCGTCAGCTGTTAATCTGACCAGCAGAGAGCTGCTGGCTTTAATCTGTAAATATGATGAACTGTGCACTCAAGCCTCAGGTGCTCTGCTGTTTCCTGTTTCGTGTGAGGAAATCAGTAAAATAGAAAACAGATGAAGGTTGGAAAGAATGACAGAGACGAAAGATTACCATGAACTGTCCTGTTAGAGGTTTGTCCTCCGACACCTTCAGGTCCATGTTTGACCCCCTGATGGAGAGAGGCTGATGGGTTTTCCTAAAGCTGATCGATCAGTTTGTTTTACGGGAACATGTAGTCCGGTCCATCAGCTTAACAAGGTTTCTGGCTGATTGCAGTTTGGCTCATTTTAATCCCATCAGACAAGGTTTGATTCATCCACCATCTCCTGAATTATACGCTCAGTTTTACTGATGTATTTGAAGCCAATGACCTTTTAAAATTGTGTCAGAGGCGTCGACTTCCCGCAAAATCAGGAAGTAAACCTGTGCAGTTTGAATCTCTTCAATGTCAGTGTTACTCCTGAGAAGTCGGCAGCATCAGTTTCAGAGTCCGAAGTCTGTTTTGGAGCCTTAAGTTGGTTTTAGAGGCCGAAGTGTGTTTTAAAGCTTGCAGTATGTTTTCAAGACATAACATAAATAACATACGTTATGCAGATGACACAGTGCTGATAGCGAACGGTGAAGAAAACTTGCAGACCGTAGTATCCATAATTGATACAGAACACCAAAAACTTGGTCTGTCTTTAAACAAAAAGAAAACAGACGTAATGGTAATTTCAAAGGAAAATGTCATCCCAACCTGTAACATAAAATTAGACCAAAAAACACTGAAGCAGGTTCATCATTTCGAACATCTCGGTTCATGGATGACAGATCAGATGGGAGGTGTGAAACAGAAATCAGATGTAGAGCAGCAACGGCAAGAACAGCATTTATGAAAATGAAAATTATACTGACAAATAAGAAAATAGCCATTAGCATCCGTATGAGAACTGTACCTTCTACCTGTTCTAGTGTACGAATGTGAATCTTGGAACATAAATAATAAAATGTCTGCAGCAGAGATGCGGTTTTACAGATGCATGCTACATGCACCTTATATGGACAGAACAAGCAATGAAGATGGTTTAAAGTCACTAAACGCAAATTATACGCTATTGAACAAAATGAGGAAATGGCAAGCAACATTGTTTGGACACATCAGAAGCAAAGAGATCCTGGAATATGTTGTCACAACTGGAAAAATGAATGGAAGAGAGGACGAGGCAGACAGAATGAAAATGATAGACGGCCTGACATCATGGCTACACATGGAACAGGCAACAGTCACAATTCAGAAAGTAAAAGATCGGATGAGATGGAGAGAAATGATCGCCTGCGCTGAATGGCATGGCTTGTGATTGATTGATTGATTGATTGATGGATGTTTTAAAGTCTAAAGTCTGTTCTTAGAGTTTGTAGTCTCTGCAGAGTACAGTCCTCCCTCCAGCATGTGGTCATCTTCACCTCCAGATCCTCTTGAACTTTGGTGACTTGATGAAGTTTAGCAGTTGGTCCTGCAGCTCCCCCATGTGGACACACCGTGACCTGCAGGCTGGACTCTCACCACCTCATCATGTGTGAGGCCCTCTATCTTCAATTCAAGCGCATGTTTTCTCTTCTCTGTTTCAGTCTACATCATTTGATTGCAAAGTTATTAGGGTCCGAGCACCCAAAAGGGTGCGAAGACCCTATTGGAACTGCTCGGATTATTATTATTATTATTAGGGTCCGAGCACCCAAAAGGGTGCGAAGACCCTATTGGAACTGCTCGGATTATTATTATTATTCGTGCCCTAAACTTTTGAGGCCCTAAACATACTCGAAAACTCACCAAAATTGCCATGCACATCAGACCTGGTGAAAAAT